CTCGAATGCAACCATGGCTCACGAGTTATCCGGCATGTTTTTGGATGCGAAAGACTCGGCTGATTGGGACGCATCTGCTAATCAGATCAAGTGTTACACACGCAAGATCGGCTTGGTTGTAAAAGCCGGCCTCAAGTCTCTAGGGTTACGTGCTGGCCACGTCAAGCCTACTACTACACCTGGAATCACCTTACCGACTCCCATTATGACCTTGAATGAAGGCAATGACAATCTCCAATTTGACTCGTCTGAAGATGAGGAACACAATGATAGTGATCCTGATCAAGAACAATTTGATGACAACAATTCCAATTCTGAAGATGGTGTGGACGAGAGCATTTCTGACATGGCCCAGGCTGTTCGTAAAGTAAGCAAAAAGTATTTCAATGTCTTATACTTTTGCTTTGCTAATCTAACCTTCTATCCTTCTTTCTAGGCTAAAAAATTCAACAGCTTGTGTACCAGAAGCTCAGCAAGACGTCAAGAATTCTTAGCTAAGGCTAAGCAAATGGAGTACAAGGGCCGCTCTCCCATCTCTGGGTGGGGAGTGCAATGGAACATTGATGCTGATTACCTCAAAAGGTTAAGCGATGCACGTGATGTGAGTTTTCTTTATACCTTTTTTCTCCGCTTATCCATCCCAACCTTCTTTCTCCGTTTCTTACAACATCTTGATCTGTAGGTTGTCGACGCGATTCTACTGAGTGATCACAAGACTCGATATTACCAAGGCTTGCAGATCAGTGGTGACGAATGGGACTCGATCGAGACCCTGGTGAAGATACTACATGTTTGTCTCTCTTTTGTCTCTTGCTTTTACTTTGGACTGCTCACCAACCCTTCTCTCTCTTTGCAGGTCTTTTTGTATGCCACCAAACGGATGGAGGGCAATTTACCCACAGGTTGTATATTACTTGCTGAATACTCACGGTTGGTTCTGGAGCTCAATCACCTGATTGACGCCTGCGAAGACTCAGACCTGAAGGCCATGCTGGTGTTGATGCGGAAAAAACTTGAAGGTTACCAAGAGGAAGCGGTTTCTTGCGACGCGATTGTGATCTCGACAATCCTCAACCCTCGCTTTAGAATTCGATTTTTTGACCTTAACTACCCTGAAGAGGCTGTTAGAGCCAAAAAGTTATTTTGAACACTCTTCGACAACGCTCTTGCAGATTGGCCTGAAGAGCCTAATGACTCCGCTTCAGATCAAGTATCTCAAAGTCCTTCCATTTCCACCTCACCCTCTCCAAACTCTACCCAATTCGATGTTTTTACAACTCAGGTCACAGCTCAGTCACCCGCCGATAAACGTCGTGAGGAGCATGCCGACTATGTTGAGGGAGCTCATCTGATGCTTGCTAATCAGTCCGAACTAGAGTGGTGGAAGGTATGTTCATCCAACCTCTACTCTCTCTCTTTCAAATCTGTCTCTGATTGGTTTTGTTTCTACTTATAGGAGCACGAGAAGGACTTTCCGGTTCTTGCATCTATTGCTCGAGATTATCTCGGCCTATCAGGTACCACCTGTCCTTGCGAGAGGACTTTCTCTTCGGCTGCGGATATTGCAGTCCCTGGCCGGGCGTCTTTGACCGTGAGGGCTATTTCAAGGCTTGTCGGGGTACGCGAATGGTTAAAGTCCAAGATTTCGCTTTCAGGTATATTTGCAGAAGCTGCGGCTTATCTTCAAGCTTATGAGAATTCAAATACCAAGGCTAGAAAATGATTTATCTCGAATAATTCTCTTTTCACTTTTTCCCTATCCTAGATAAAATTACTCAAAAAACTCAAATGCTTGTGCGTGTTCTCCAGGATAACATTAAATCCCAAAAGCCCCCAAAAAAACTTGTTTTCCTCTCCGTGTTCTTCAAAATAAGCCTAAAACACAAAAAAAGTTGTCCTGTTTTTCTTTTTTAATCCCCACTCCACCAACCAAGCCCTTTATAACACATGCGTAATCAAATCACGGTTTAAGACTCGTAAAATCTACCTGAACATGTGACCCCTGCCCAAACACGCTTTGAAGCGCTGCCACGTCTAAAAAACCACCATAGCAAAGCGGAGCGGTTTTCAAAACCGCACCGCTTTGAAAACTCGTAGTGCCTCATAAAATATAGCGTAGCGTTTAGTGCTTTTTCATAGCGCCAAATCACTACGCTCGTGAAAAAGTGAGATATAGCGGAGCGGAGCGTAGCAACGGTGGTGTTGAGGGTGGTGAAGGCATTGAAGTCTTGCAATTTGTGGTCTTGGAAAGAAATTTGGGTTTTCAGACGGCTTGAACCAGACCAAGTAGCAGCATATTAGGTTTTCTTCTGTCACCTCTAGGGTTCCTGTCATGTGAGTGCTTGTTGTTAGGAATCTTCTTGGTGCAGTTTCTTGATAAGTATCTGGTTTCATGGCACTTGTACTAGTAGCACTTGAATTTGCTCAATTCTGCCGGGTCTAAGTCCATAGGAACAACCAAGTTGGTGGTAGGGGGTGGTTTTCCAAAAGCATTAGGAGTGCAGTGATTGTTGAAGGGATCTTTGTGGAAACTGAACTTGCAGCCTGAGTTGAATCTTTGATCATTTGATTGTTTGCTGTCTGGTTGAATCTTGCGCTGATTATCTACATGTTGCTTCACTTTGACAAGCAGCTGTGTAAAAGACTTCCTGGTCATATTCTTTCTTGTTGTCAGTTCCGTTGATATCTTGTCTGTGAGCAGCTGAGAGTTTGTCAAGAAAGAGAAAATATGTTTCAATGAAAGAGAGTTCGACTTCTGGGATTTGACAGACAAGGTTTCTGAATCTGAGGATGTAATCATTTACATCTTGAGGATGTGATCATTTACATCTCCCTTATATGTAGTAACATAACTTCAATTTCTCCCTTATTTCTTCTTTGAGCATACTACAGTTGTACTGTTCTATCAACTGGTGGCAAAAGTCTTGTTAGTTTTTTGTGGTGGCCGCTGTTGGCGGGATCACAAACCTTGTGCCAAAACATTTGTCTTTCTTCATTCAGATAAGTTCCTATCATCTCACCCATCCAGATTCAGGGTAGAAATGAGATCTGAAATCTTGGCAACCTCCAAACTTGTGAGGTTCAGCACGGAACATGTTGGGTTTCAAAGGAGGAGGCTGGTTTGAGGGGTTGGGTAAGTTCTTTTTGAGCTGGTAGATGTGGTCTTTTGTGTTGGCCAGCTCTTGATGGTCACATTGATTTTGATTGCATTGCTCACTGATCATGGCTTGAGCTTATACTTGTGCATCAATGTTGGTTTGTTGTACTTTGATGAGTTTCAAGTCCTCAGCAGGAATGTAGATAAAAACCAATGTTGTACTCCATTGATGATTTTGGTTTGTTGAAAAAGAATGGAAGAGATTCTTATATAGTATTTGAATAAGACTTGATCAGAGTCTCTTTAGTAGATACATGTGATTTCAAGTTTTTCTTCAAAAAGAAATGTACCCAGTGGTCTTTTGTAAGATTTCTTCAATAAGGAACAGCCTGAAATGTCATGGTGTTTTCCAAATATTGAATACTGGGGTCATGTGTGTGTTCTTTGGAAAAAGACGCTTATCAGGAACTCTAACTGATCAAGGAGATGTTGCAATAAGTTTGAATAACTAGCTAGGGAATTCAAAAAACTCACAACTGGGTCTATTAGGAACTTTGAAAATTCTGTAGGTTTATATCTTACAGTGTGAGGTCTGGAGGGAGATAAAAGGGGAAGCAAAAGTTAAAAAAAGGAACAGATTGATGATCTCTTTCATATCAAAATACATGTTGATTCAAGGGTTAGGAAAAAGGTTTAAGACACACAAATATACATTTCTGATTCTATTGCAATCTTGGTAGGGCAAGTGTGACAAAGAAGTAACTTGAGGATCCATTCCAAGGGGAAGAGAGGAACTTTAAATAGTCCTATATCTCCTACAGAGTAAAAACAAGGCAATATGTGTGGTATAAGACAACAGGGATATATATGTCGTGATACAACTCTTAAGGAATTGAGGTGGCCAAATCCTGTACTGATGGATTTGGCATACAATAGTGAGCATGTAGTTGATTGGGATGGATCTGGATAAGATCCATTTGATTACAAAAAGTGTTCTATGAAATCAAAAGGAAATAGAAAGCAGAAAAGTGTGCCAAAAGCGCATACATGTGATGGACGAGAGAAGAGGGTGGAGGACAAACCCCAAACCTCAAAATGCAAATTATGTATGCATGTTCTCCTGTATGTGTCCTCAAATTTTGTAACTCTCATTGACTCTCATCAAACCTCACAGCAAACTCCAACCAAAAACCATTGCATTTTTGGGTTTGATTATCACCTCACAGGGAAAAGTAAGACAACACGTATCCAAAAGCATTGTGCAGAAATGAACAATGTTCTGTTCACGTTTTCATCTTTGAATTCTTTGGTGAGGAATACGTCCAAAACGATTATTGCCTCACCGATCGAGGAACTCAGCATAACCTTTTTGTTGCCAAAGGGACCCTGGTGCCCCGGACTGTACCAATGTAACCCTCGTGAGTGATAAATGAAGGGCAGGAATTCGGGAGTTTGCTTTCTCGGTAATGCAGTTTGCATGCTGTTCTTCAAGCTAAGTAAAGTTACAAGGCTCGGTAGTGACACGAATCATGCGTGGTCTGAAGCATTTTGGAGCCACAAACAATGGTCTATTGACAGTTCTGTGCTACTTGTTTCAAATACTTCGTTGTGTCTTTGAAGGGTGTGGGTCATGAAGCTAAAGGATACCTGCAAAACGGATAAAACCTGCATGGAATCTCCGGACGACAGCTTCGGAGCTCTTCCCACTTGCATAGCCTGTACCTGGTGAAAGAGCGTAAAGAGCTGATGTTGTCCGAGACTACTCAGCAATCATGCTAGATTTTCAGTATTCTCAGACGCACTTGGGCAACCGAATCCCTCAAGTCTTAAAATCAATTTAAACCACGACTAACAGACATCAGGCCCGATCGTGGATCTATTCAGCATGAAGTCAACTCGGACAATGGCCTTGATGTGTAATTGGCCTACATTTCTTTCAGCTATGAGCCGTTGGGATTTGTCTAACACAATAGGTCATCCTGTTGCAATCACGGAGAGCCATGCAAAACCGTGGGCTGACTTGACAGGACCGGGTCCGTATGATTCGGCACTACGGCAACAGGAGTTTTCTCGAGCGGAAAGAATTCATACATTTGGCATACCGATTGACACGCCCGAAGCGGCGACTGCATCCACCAACAAGATTCACACTGCGTCTACTGGTCCCATCACACCAATTGATGATCTTTACACCGATGCTCACGGAAAGAGTGTCAGTGAACAACTTGCATTTGTTATTTGGCTATCAAGAGAAAAATAATATATGACTCATTTATTTGTTTAACAACTCCACCGCTACTAAGTCCAGTCTCCCTGGCCAGTGGATACAGATCTCTTCGATACGCGCGGCGGACTCGTGCTCGATCGTTTGAGCGGAGTGAAGAGTCGAGAACAACAATCAATACATCAGGAGGTAGAGGAAGCAACACAGTTGGATGTTTTGCATTCAAGGTTTCACATGGAACCTCCTAATTGGCTTGAAGTGCATCTCTTTGATGCTCCTTCCTCGGACGCCCACATGGAAAACCTTGGGGAAGGGACATGGGAACCCCTCGAAGGCCAGCTCCAGAGCCCAGGATATTACAGCGAATTGACCAATGTCTTAAGCCAGATTCCATCGATCAAGGGAGATCCGCCGTCGTGGCTCGACCTGCTCAGGGCAGACGACTCCAATGGAGGTCTGCACAATGATGGCTTTCCATCAAAAAGTTCCTACGATAGCATCACAGGGCTTAGGAGTCACTCAGAAGTGCACAATGATTACACTCATGACCCTTTGTCATTTTTCAATATACCTCACATTCCGTTCTCACGATCATTATCAGGCAATCATATTCCTGCCGAGCATGCATTGGAAGCTCCAGACAATAATTTTGCTCCTATGCTGCGACACAGCGAGAGAGTTGATACCTCTTTTGACTCTCAAATGGTCAACACCGAACCCAAACCAATTTCGCGCAGCGCTCCATCGCAAGATCCTTCTTCTCCTACCATTTCTTCTGTCGCAAACGGAAGACAGCCTCTTGAAGCTCTTGGACATGCTTTCAATCATCTCGCCTATGGACTACCTCGAGGCACAGAGCCTATATCACATATTTCAGAGGCAAAGGTGTCAGACTCGTCTACAAACTCGTGAGTATCTCCGGCCAGAATTGATATTGAAATTATTTTTCTGATAATACATCGGTCTATAGTGGCTTGCGGGATTCACCAATCACATTCAACCCGCTCTTTCAGTATCCGTCACCGGCCAGGCGCGGGCTCAAAGCGTCATTGGCTGAATCAGGACATTCGAAGCGTCCATCTCCGACCAATGAAGTTGAATATCAAGCTTCCAGGAAAAGAAACCATCGCAATCCTTCATTCGATAACAAAGAAGAATACACACGTCAGCTGAAAAGTCATTACTCATCCATAGGTACTGAAATCCATACCTCGGATTCACCAACTCCCCCGAATGGGAAGCCCTTGCGGTTACAATCCAACCCCTCTGCAACTTCATTGCTCTCCTCTAAAAGAAACTTTAACTCAAAACTCAAACCGCATGGAAATGAAGGGCGTATATCTCATGATCCAGTATTAGATCATCAAACAAAAATTAAAGCTATACAAAAATATTACGGAAAAGCTTGGTATCGAGAAATCTTGAAAAAGAAGGCATTATTGGACAACTCTGAAGATAACCTTGGTCAGGAATTTCTATCAAATCCCGATCATCAACCAATTTCACCTAGAGAATTGATTGATTCTACGTATCAGCCTAAAATTCTTGAATTTATAAACTCATTCTCACAAGATCGTATCCATGAGCTTGATTCACCGTTTCTCAAAGAAAACATGGGTATAGCTTTGGATAATTACTTGGAAATCTTAACCATCTGTTCTGAAGTTGTTTGGTCTCTTGGTTTAAATACAAAGATGGAAGACGATGTTCGTGATGGTTACGAGTGGATAATGGATGAATTAGCTAGACTTCCACAAAGGCAATCCGAGGGATCAACAAATGATGGAGACAGGCATCCATCTGAAACACCAATTCCAGATACGAATGATTTTGCAAAAACGTTTGATAGTCTTTCTGTATATGATGGTACTGTATTTTGGTTATCTTATAGAGTACTTGAAAGAAAACGGGAAAGAGTGGGAGCTAAGTATGTCTTAGAATTTATGTGTCAAAAACGAAGCCATTGGATCAAATATCTAACTCCTCACACCGCTAACAAATTATATGTCAAAACTTTATTGATGTTATCAAAAAGGGTAAGGGAATTAAAATATCTTAGTCCAAGATGAAGAGCATAACAAGCCAGGTTATTACAAGAGAAGGGTTAATGGGGTTATTTTGAATTCATCCTCTTATCTTATTGTCTGCCTTGAAAGAGGCACAGAAAATGATTTCATTACATGTGTTTCTTTCTTAGATTTATTTTCATTTCATTTCTCATGTTTGCTATGGCACAGTTCCCGAGTCTTACTGCGAGATCATTTAATTATGTAGCATTTTATCCTCTTATTGTCTTTTACTTACCGTAACCATTTTCAAGAAACAAACAGTCAGATGTTTTTTCCTTTGATTCTGCTTATCTCTTGATTTCTCATTTCATTCTATTCTTCAATCCAATAAGTTCCAAGATGTAGACATGGAAGACATACATTTAGAAAACTCAAAAGAACTATCAATAAATTCTCAATCCTCAGTCTGTGTTCCAAAACTTGATTCAAAGATTCAATCCTGGAGAAAAACAGTGAATCAAATCATCCCATCTGTAAGGCCGTACACCTCCTAGTTTACAATTTTGTCTTTTCCTTCAAAATTGTGACATCTGTTTGTTTCTTTCGAGATAAGATACTTCATTGATTGAACTTTAGTAAACAATTTGTCAAGTATTTTAGCTGTGATATCTTTGTGGATGATATTGAATAGACTGCCGGATTGGTCAATGTATCTGACTAAGTTGTCTTCTGGCTTGCTTGTTTTGATTGTGTAGTTGTTGAGGGGCAAAGTAGAATTTGTTTGTTGAACCTTTGAATTTTTTCAGTCAACAACCGCTAGCCTTAGCCTTGAGGACATGTCAGTTTGTAGTCATTCATTCAAATTTCAAAATTTTTGAGCCCCACATGTCTGATTTGCAATGTAGGCACGATGTTTGAGCGCCTACCCAGGAAATTCAACGTAGGCGCTCAGAAATAGCGCCTTGATGCATATCAACACAAAATTCAACAATTTCTTGACTTATTCTCAATAAAATTTATCAAGACACAGCATATACCATGTCTTGAGGACAGTATGAGCAAACTTTTGGATAATCAATTGGACATCTTAACTATTTGTTCTGAAGTTGTTTCATCTCTTGGTTTAATTTCAAACATGGAAGAAGATGTTTGTGATGGTTATAACTGGAGAATGAATGAATTAGCAAAGTGTCCACAAAAACAATTTGAACAGCTACCAATTCCTGGAAACAAGTATGAGCCAAGCATGCATCAAAATTCATGCATCACAGATGAATGCATTGGATCAAATACTTAACTCTCTCAAATGCTAAGAGCTCAAAGTTATACGCCAAAACTTTATTATTCTCAGCAAAAAGACCATTGAAACATTTTAGTTTGAAAGGAGGAGGATAAAAAGCAAGAATCAAACCCAGGGGAGTGTTAATGGGGTTTTGTAAAAGAGAAGATCAGTTGATAATTTTGTTCCCAGCTGGAGATCATCACTATTGACTTATAAGCCTGAGTTATGATGATTGGTCATCTCATGATTTAGAAGCTCTCATAATGCAATTCAGATTTTCTTGTTCAAAGTTAGAAACACTTTGAATTCTTCAGGTACATCTTGAGAATGTGCAGGTTCAAAGGCAAAATCCTTGAGATCTTAACTTACCAACTTGCTGTCCCAGGCATACCACAAATCTTTCCCTCCTTTAAATCTCTGGGACCCAAACATTATCAATCTAAACACAGCAAAGACTGAATTTTATGGTTCTCAGTGGGATTTAACCTTTGAAGTTTCATCTTCTTTAAGGTAGTAAGAAACTTTCTTATCATTTTCGAGGTCCAACATATACATATCAGTTATCCATCTTGATTCTCGAACCACAGGAGAGGCGCTTATACTTATCATTTGATGTAGCTATGATCGGGATTTCAAAACATTGAAGCTCATTGAACAACATCAAGATATGTATCAAGATTCAACATGCAGAACCCTGATCGATTCGCATCTGCAGGTCATTACATAAGAGCAAAGTGGTTTCGATTTCAAACCTTTATCCCGTTATCATAATGTGGGCATCGATTCTGCTTTACTGAATGGGTCTTGATAGCTTCAAAACGTATCGTCTTGCATCTTTGGCTTGCTGAAACCAACGCGCTTGCTACATAGTACAAGGGGTGGACACTATGTTTCCGCGGTTTTCACCTTTTCCGTCACTTTGCTTCGCCATCGAGTGGGCTGCGATGCTTCCCAGAATCACAACCAGCAGGCACTCTGGATCAGGCATCAAGCGACTGGACTGTGGATCTAGCCAACATGAAGTCAATTCCGACGACGGCCTTGCTGTTTAGTTGGCCTATATTCCTGACAGCTATGGGCGTCAGGGAATTATCTAACACGATAGGTCATCCTGTTGCAACCACGGAGAGTCATTTAGAACCATGGTCTTACTTGTTAAAATCTTGGGATCAGGCACTTCAACCGCAGGAAGGTGCTCGAACGGAAACAAGATATCCATCAGGAATAACGTTCAACCCACCCGGAACAGTGATTACTTCCAACAATATTCAGTCTACTGGTCACATTACACCGATTGAAACTTTTTATACCGATGCATATGGCAAGAGTGTCAGCGAACAAGTTGAATTTATCTTCTCCCCTATCAAGACAAAATTAATCTTTGACTATCTCTTTTGCTCAAAAACTTCATTGCTACGAAGTGCAGTCTCTTTGGCAAGTGAATAAATATCTCTTCAACACGCGCGACAGACTAGTGCCCGATCATTGGAGTGGAGTCGCGAGTCTGGAACAACGTCCAATAAATCAGGAGGCAGGAAAAGAGCACCCTCAGTCAAACACATCACCTTCAAGTCCACGGACACAATCTCCTTGGCGCGAGTCAAGTACGTTGAATTCACCTTTATCGGCCACCCATGTGGACAATCTTGGAGGGGGGACGTCGGGACACCTCGAAGACCAACTGCAGGACTCAGTGTACTACAGCGAATTAAACCATGTCGTAAGCCAGCTTCCAAGAATCGAGGCAGATCCGATGTGGTGGCTTGACCAACTCAGTGCAGCCGACTTCGACGGAGTTCAACACAATGATGGCCTCCATTTAGGAAATCCCTCCGATAGCGTCACGGGGCTAGGGGACCACTCGGAAGTGCACAATACCTACCCGCATGACCCTCTGGCCTTTTTGGATGCATCTCACGTTGGTCTTCCACTCTCATCATCCGGTCACCAAAACACTGCCGAGCATCAGGTCAAATCTTCGGAAAATGTCTTCGCTCACATCCTTGGACAGAACGTCATCTTTGATACACCTTTTGGCTCTCAAATCGTCAACAACAAACCCAAACCAATCTCTCATGACGGTTCATTGCAACCTTCCACTTCGGTTATTTCTCCTGTCGCAAACCAAAGACAGCCTCTGGAAATTCTTGAAGACTCCAACCATGACACACCTCAAAGTACACAGTCTATATTACCTGCCTCAGAGGCAGAGCAGAAATTGGAGCGATCTTCCTATTCGTGAGTGCATCTGACCGAAATTGATTAGATTTGCCAATATTTTTCTGATCCTCAGTTTGGTCAATAGTGGCTTGCAAGATTCCTGGAGTAAATTTTCGCGCCTTCAGCATTCATCACCGGCTAGTCTTGCGCACGAAGAACCCACAAAACATGGACCAGTTTCATTGCTCGAATCAGGAATACTCAAGCGCCCCGTTCACCCTCCTGGGCTTGAACCACAATCGTCCAGGACAAGACCTCATCATAATCATAATGACGGATTTGTCAGTCAAGTAGAAACATATCCCCCGTCAATAAATACCGACATTCATACCCCGGACTCATCAACTCCCTCGAATCAGCAGTCGTCGAGGTTGCAATTCAGGACCCCTACAACTCCTGTACTCGATTCCGAAACACATCATATCCCGAGACTCAAAAAACACCGTAAAGATCAAGATATACGTAATGATCCAGTCGATATCGAAAATCATGAATCAACATCAGCCATTGAAAGATATTACGGAAAATTTTGGCCTCAAGAAAAACCATACAAGGAGACATTCTTCTTTGATGATTTTGTAAAACTTGGTACATTTGTGCCCACTTCAAATCATCCATCAACTTCACCTAGGGTATTGATTGATACCTTTCAACCTGAAATTGAAAAATTTATGAATACAATTTCAAAAAATTGTATCAATTGGCGTTATAAATCATATCTCACCGACAATATGAGACACCTGTTGGATAATTATCTAGAGATCTTATCCATCTGTTCTGAAGTTGTTTCATCTAACGGTTCACCTCACAACATGGCAGGAGATCTTCGTGAAGGCTACGATTGGTTAATGGAAGGATTAGAAGATCTTCCACATACTCAATTTACAAACTTGCCAATACCTGGAAACAAGTATTCATCTCGAAGACCCAGAAGCAGAGCCTTTACGAATCTCTTTGATCGGTTTACCGTCTTCGATGGTACAGTATATTGGTTAAAACATCTATCATATAGTAGCAGACGTGAAAGAGTGGCGGCTACGTTCGTATTAGCTTTCATGCGTCAGAAACGAGCTCACTGGATCCACCATCTGACGCCTTATAGTGCTGATGAGTTATTTGTGCGAACGTTATTGATTTTTGCAAAAAGGGTAAGACCATTGAAATATCCTAGTCAGTAATGAATACTATAACAAGCGAGCTCATCAAGCTGAGAGAAGGGGGAATGGAGTTTTATATACAGTCCGAACTAGATAACATTGTAGAAGAGCGGTTGAGAATTCTTGATCCCAACAAGAACTGATAAGGCTGAGTAATGATGATGTAATAATTTACCAATCTCTAGCAAAACTCAAAGAGGATAACAATCCAGCTCATCAAGCCGAGAGACGGATTGATAGGCTCTCGCAAGATCACAGTCCAACTTTTGATGTCATTGTAGAAGACCAGTTGATAATCTTGGTTACAACAAGGACCAATAAGCCCGAGTTATGATGATTCATTCTGATACTGAGAATGAGCAGGTTCAGAGGCAAAAAGCTTTGTCATCCAAGTTACCATCGCATACCAATGGTGCGATATATTCATACCACATCCATTTTCCTCTTTGACAATTTTGGCACCAATTATTCTCATAGCACCACTTATGCATACTCTAATGATGAAATCAAAATCTTGGCATGCCTGTACTTGAAGTTATGTTGTACACCAAGACTCTGGCCAAGGTTGTATGCATTGTCCTACTTTCATCTACCAGATGATCAGGTTACCCAAGGAAAATAAAATCAATTGGATGTTGAATTATTCAGCTTAAGAATACCCAAAACTTGTATAGAACCATTTTTTCTGATAGGACTAAGCTGGAGTCATATTGTACCTTGAATAACTGATAGATTGGTAGCTCCAGATTCTTTGTTATTGGACTTTCATACTTATTTATGAGCACCTGTGAGCTACAAAGTGCACAAGACAATGTAAAAATTGTATGTAGTCCAACCTATTCTAGATATCAAGACTGACACTTGAGCCTCAAGAAAGCAAACCCAGTGACGTCATTTTGGATAGCAGTCAACCTGACAACAAAGGAATCATTCAATTTTTATGATTACACAACATGAGCACCACTTGAATTTATACAAAAAACATTTCCCTATATGATTGAGCATGATAATGTCACCATTAAACCTTAGTACGACTTCAAGGCGCTTATAAACAACCAAGTCACACAAACAACTAGATAGTCCAACATCAATCAATCGACTCAAAGGGAGATCTTTATGAGAACAACTGATTTGTGATGTTTTATCTAGGATCCAAGAGTCGAGTGGATCCGTTATTTTCACCTCACCACTCCACCTCCCTGTGAAAAGAAAGATGTGTTAAAACAAACAACTCAAGCCCAAGAATAAATAAACCGGGAAGCTCACATTGATCAGTTCAATTTCTTCTTGTGATGGTCTGATATAACTATAAGGAAGTTCGCTTATGTCATCATAAACAATCACACGAGAGTTTGAATTTGAATTTGATGATGATGATGAAGGTTTAGGATTAGATTGCGGTGAAGTTGAAGAAGGTTGACGTTGATGATCTAAAAAGCTTGAAAAGTTTTCCTTAATATCGGTAGGTGCCATTGGATGTGGACCTGTTGGAGTTGGTTCTGTGGAAAAGGATTTTTCAACATCGAATGAGATCAAGATACCAAAGCTTTGAGAGTGTTTGACTCAACTGCTATCTTGAAATCGTTTACCAATAAATCGAATCAAAGGTTTGTGTACATGATTAGCATGACGAGCAGCAGTGCAGAACATGATAGTGATATTTAGTGATTTTGAGAGGTAGAGTGTATCTCGTCGAAGGATGCTGATGATCAACTTATTGGATGAACTCGGAATGAATGACTTTTAACCCTAACCAAGTTGAGTACTTCAAACTATTGTTTTGTGGGTTTCTGTAGTTTTTGATAATGTATTGTGTCGCATACACGCCCATGAAGTAAATATGGAACAGGTTTGTTAACTTTACAAGTCAACTTCGTCTTTAATCTGCATTCAACTTCCTTCACCATCTTCTCAACAAAATGGGTGTACCAGCCCTTTTCAGGTTAGTGAACAACTACATACCCTATTCAGATATCTTAAACTGATTTACTTGAATTTTACAGATGGTTATCTAAAAAATATCCTAAAATTGTAGAACAAGTTATTGAAGATGTACCTATAAGGACTGAAGTCGAAGGAGGTCTGTTCTTCTAACTGCGAGTCAATTTTGAACTCTTTGACTTGTATTTGTATCTATCAAACATGAATTTAATGCATACTAACCTTGATTGGAAAAACACAACAGGATACGAAGAAACACCACTTGATATGAGTAAGAGGAATCCAAATGGGGTCGAGTTTGGTTAGTCATCCACTAGACTTTTTTATGAAATGGATTTTATCTAACCCAACCATCGATTCATCTTGTGGGCGTAATCAGACAATCTATACCTAGATATGAATGGTATCGTACATCCTTGTACTCATCCTGAGGGTAAAAAACCTCCAGAGACAGAAGAAGAAATGATGATCGAAGTCTTCAAATACACCGAACGAGTCGTTAATATGGTCAGACCACGTAAACTACTTATGATTGCTATTGGTAAGTTATTTATTTTACAAACCATCGAAACTACCTTCAAACTGATCTCAACTTTTCGATGGACATAAGATGGAGTTGCACCTCGAGCTAAAATGAATCAACAACGATCAAGACGATTTAGAGCAGCACAAGAAGCACAAACAAAAGAAGAAGCTAAATTAGCAGCGATTGAAGAATGGAAAACGATGGGAAAAGAACTTTCAGAAGAATTCAAAAGTGATAAGAAAGCTTGGGATAGTAATGCTATCACTCCTGGTACCCCTTTCATGACTCTCTTGACGGAAAGTTTACGTTATTGGATTGTTCATAAGATGAACACTGATCCAGGGTGGAAGCAGGTCTATTGATTTTTCATTCTTTCTAATCTTTGTAATGACCCTGTGTTTGCGCATCAACTCCTTTACCTGCTATAATATTTTGAATACTGATATCATGTTACTCTTCTGGATTTTCAGATACAAGTGATTCTTTCGGATGCATCAGTTCCGGGTGAAGGAGAACACAAGATCATGGACTTCATACGACGACAACGGACTCATTCCAGCTACGATCCAAACACATCTCATGTGATCTATGGTTTGGACGCAGATTTGATTATGCTCTCCTTAGCTACTCATGAACCTCACTTCAAGGTTTTGAGAGAAGACGTGTTTGCCGATCAAAAGAAAGGTCGTGGTTGTTATACTTGTGGGCAACCAGGTCATCACAGTAGTCAATGTCAAGGCAAACCTAAAGAAAAGGCCGACGAATTCGATATCAAACAGAAGCCGGTGGAGCGAAAACCTTTCATCTTTCTCGATGTCGCGACTTTGAGAGAATATTTAACTATCGAACTCAATTTACCTGGCTTGCCATTTCCATTCGATCTTGAACGAGCCATCGATGATTGGGTTCTCTTGATCTTTTTCGTCGGAAATGATTTCTTACCCCATTTACCAAGTCTTGAGATTCGGGAAGGAGCTGTGGACACCCTTTTAAAGATTTGGAAATCTAACTTGGCCAAGATGGGAGGATATCTTACTGATTGTGGAAAGTTAAACTTGGAGAGAACTGAAGTTATTTTAGATGGTCTGGCTGGACGCGAAGATGAAATTTTTCGAAAGAGAAGAGAAGCTGACGAACGACAAGATCGAGATGCGAAGAAGCGTAAGATTGAAAGTGAACAGAATAGTAGATATGCACCACCAACGACGGGATCTTATGTTCAAGTAACTCCTAGTTCAGAAGCGCCTTCAAGTAATCCTAATGTTGGCAACCGCCCTGGCTTCTTACCACCCAAACCAACGTCATCAAACACGACTGGCATTCCAGGATTGAATTCATCCGATCCAAGCTCCCACATCTCAATGATGA